AATTTTCTCTCACCTGTGGACACTGTTCGACGAACTTGTCGAGGAAGGCGTACATGCAGAAAAACTTGAAACCCCCGCCCGGGGTCAACCCCGAAGACCCGTCCCCCCCGTAGTGATGCCTCATCTTGAGCCTCAGCAGCACGAAAGAGGCCGTCTTCACGTAGTCTTCCAGGGCTTGCTTAACCGCCACCTCTCCCCCTGCCAAAAAAAAACAATCAAGGATACATACATAGCAGCATTGACAGCGGAAGAAACAAAAAAATGACGGCATGTTTCAACCTTGCGTACAGTTCAGGGAACCCACCTCGTTGAGAACCAGGGGACGTAAAAGGCGTCCTGCCGAGGCCGCCGTGCGGCTTCTCTGGCTTTGCATGTGTGTTCGAAATGTACAGGGAAACCATTGCCAAGCATCTGTCATGTAATCGACTGGGTGTGTCTTCTTATGGTCAGTTCCTCAAGTTTCGACCGCTCTCAAGTCGGAACTTGCTTCATAACTCCCAGGGTCTGACGGGGTGGCGAATGCTGTAGGCGTGAATTCCCATACTTCCTGTCTCTTGACGTTCCTTTCCACTGTCAAAACCAAAGCTATCTATACACCTGTCCCAACGAGTGAGCAAGATATAGTGGTAGGCGTCATGAGCCACAACGTTCTATTCTTAATTGTAGCATGGCCGAAGACCCCAACCACGAAGTTAAAACATGACTGAATTTGCGTGTGTTTCTTCTGACAAACTCACGGGCACGGTCCATCGTGCTGACGCTGTTCGTGGAAAGCTTGCGCTGATGCTCACCCAACTGTCATGCAGTGTTTCGCTCTCACCTCCTGTTGGTCCCCGGTCCCCGCCCGCGTCCCCAACGCCTCCTCCGCCGAAAAAGGCTTTCGTCAGGTCAAGGATCGTGGTCACGATGACGTGCTCATTGTTCTTGAAGACGCCCAGGCGGCTCACGTACTCGCACCTTTCCGCCAAAAAAAAAGCAGAAAGAAAAAGCCGGAGCGGGGCGTCAGAACGGGGCGGCTCTAACAAAATTACACTCACCGGTTCGAAGGACGCTCATGTGACACGAACCAAACATTTAATTTACGGTTTAAAAACTATATGCCACAACTCGATCACATGTTGACAGCACGCCCTAGACAGACGTGTGTGTAACAACAGGTATAGCTTGGCTCAGGAGGAATAGACGCTAGGAAGACAAGACAAGGAGTGCTTGCTGTGCGCTGAACCGCACGACTTTCGAGATACAGCTCTAGTCGTAGTCGCCCGTGGCGCGAGCGCGTGCCCGCAAAACCACGCGGCCAAAGCACACCCACCCCCCTGTACCCAACAAATACTCCGGGAGTGCGTCAATTTTACAAGCTATGGGGGGGAGGGGGGGGGGGCGGTGCATGTAGGCGACCCCAAGTGTTTCTTTTTTTTTTCAGATGGAGGAGCTTTAACTTTGCAAACAGAAAAAGACTCAACTTGTAAATAACGGTATCGGAGGCAAATGCGGTGAATTGAATCACATCGGGGCGAATGGTGGACCGAGCACTTCGATCCCCACCACGGACAGCAATGCAAACATGAGAAAAAAAAAGAACATGGAAAATTCCTGGAAAATTCCTGGAAAATTCCAAGACCCTAACACCGGTCGTGCCGAAATGGCGAGAAGCAAAGTATGCTGCAACAAGAACACCCCGCCACTCGCAACAGCGACGGCATCCAACAAACGGAAGAACGAAACTGACCAAAATATCCAACATTACGCCGCACGAAACGTCACCACGAAACGCAACCGCGACGGCATCCAACAACAGATCGAGGAGTAACGAGACATACAACATTGCGCCGCCCCACGGAACGTCACTACGCCACCACACCACTCACTTTCGCCACAACTCCGACGAAAACGAAGCGGCAAAGGCGTACGGCAGCAACGACCACACGGGATTGTCGATGCACCCGTCGAGCGAGAGCAGCAGCGAGTGGTCCTCGTACTTGAAGGGCAGTCCTGCGCAAAAATAAAAAAAGTGCACACACACACACACACACACAAGCGCGGGTGGTCAATCAAAACCGATCGACAAGGTGTGGCGCTTCGGATACCCGATCGCCTTGATTCGTTGTCTCACTTTGAGAATACTACGACAGGAGTTTGTTGTCCGAAAAAAGCGGCGTTCTGTACCGTGATTGACCACAATCAAGCAAAGCATCATGCATGGGGTGCGGCAACTACGAGAGATCAACCCGCAAGGTTAGCAGGATCCCTTGCGTCATGTCCACGTTCAGTTCAGTGCCAGAATGCAGCAGAGGGGGCTCGCTGGGGAGAGACGACCAACACATGCACATGTTCGGCGCCTCCACCATGCGGAGTTATTGCGAATATTCGTTCAGGGTACAAAGAAATGACCAGAAAAATCGCAAAAAAACAAATGTCATCGATGCCTCAAAAGTTCAGAACTGACAACCTACGTGGCAAAACATGTTTCCACACGTGATTGACCACAACACTCGCGGACGGTTTTACACTTTGTTTGTCACAGTCCATCTGTCTTCTGTGTTGTTGTTGTTGTTGTTGTTGTTGTTTCTCACATTAGCTCTAAAAAAGAAAGATGGGGAGCCCGTGGTCTCAAAACCCGGCATACATGACCCCACGAAGAAACAGAAAAAAGTAGGGTACAAAAACCACTCGGAAGAGAAACAAAATGATAGAAAGAAAGACCAGCTACCGCACCAAACGA